ATAGGATTGATAATCATCAGAAGCAGCTTCAGATGGTCAATAGGTAATGGTGGGATTCAAATTTTTTTACTCCCAGTTCTGTGGGCATGGCATGGCTTTATAGGTGTAGCTTTGTGGGCATCGTAGGGGAAGGATAGTGAAAAATCCCCAATCCCTCCCTACCCCACTAACCTGCTTTCCAGCTCCATTTCCCTGTTCAGGGCAACAAAAGATCATCAGCTGGGAGGCAGCAGGGGCGGAGCCAGCCTATTTGCCAATTTTTTGAACTACTCAAAATTTCCACTACCGGTTCTCCAGAATCTGTCAGAACTGGCTGAAGACCACCTCTGCCAATAGGACATACGAAAATGATGAACAGCAACTATTGTAAAGCAACAGCTGAGTTATATTGAAGTTATATTGAAACATTGCCATCCTGTTCCTTTATGCATTTTATTTTCATATATGAAATGTGCAAATTGCATTACAGGTCAAGCTAGAATGTTCTTGACTTCAACAGAACCATGGGCAAAAAACAGCCTTCTTAGTTGAAATGCCAATTGCAAAAATTGTATGTATATTAGAAAGAAGCATCAGGACAAAAGCCAGAGACATGTACTTAAGTTGCTATTATGCTGCTTATGGGATCTGTTGAAGTGAACTGCTTTTTTGCTCTTCATTTAGACATGATACAAAAAGCAAATTAAGTCACAATTTCCATTATGGGAATTTTAAAAATATTTCAATTAAATTGCCACTTGCTAAAATGTCCAATATTCTAAGATAATAGCAAAAAAGGGATATTATTTCACTTATGTTTCTAAATTGGATCAGCCTTTGAAAAATAAACAGTATTAGAAACGTCTCTGCATCTCTGCAATTTACTACTGTAATTTCAAAAGCAATTCTTTGAGTTATGCATAATGCAATAAACAACTTGAAACAATAGTACCAGTGAACTCCAAAATGGCAGAATTTTACAAAATTTTACAAAATAATGTGTAATAATGTCATACATCATTTACTTTATTGCACTTTGTAGATTACCTTTCTGTAGATTAATGCCAACAGTTTTCTCTCCTTGCGCATATCTGTTCCAGCTCTGTAACAGTATCAATCAGATTAAGACTTGCATTTAAGGTGGGGTGAATGGCATAATTCCCAGAGCCTCTCCATAAGCAGGAATACAAAAAGATTCCATGCCACTTAAACCACGTGACTATTCATTCAAGTGTAATGCCAAGTCTATTTCTGGTGCTCCACCATCTGAAATTAGCTCTCTGAAATTGAAATTAAAATACAGCTTGAAATGTAGTTTAAAAGCAGGAATGTTGGAATATTACTTCTGAAAACACATATAAGCATTTAACAACTTCATATCGGTTTCCAATGGATCTACACACAGGAGCTCAATTACAATTAAGCCTCTACAAAGTGTTTGAAAGTACACTACTGCAAGTGAGGCCTTGCAGAAAATAATAATAAAAGGTGCACCTTCAAGAAAATTTGACATGGCTGTATGAAAGGATTCCTTTTGAGTGTCTGAACATGCAGAGTTCTTTAGTTTTGGTTCAGCAGAAATGCTGTATATAAATACACCTGAAGATGATTGGTAAAAGCCTCTGAAGTAGTTCATCAAGCCTTCCTGGGAATACAGGTAATCTTCGACTTAAGACCACAATTGAGCCCAGAATTTATGTTGCTAAGTGAGAAATCACAGCAGTTGTTAAATTTGTAACACGGTTAAGTGAATCTGGCTTCCCCATTGACTTTGCTTGTCAGAAGATCACAAAAAGGGATCATGACTCTAGGATTCTGCAACCATCACAAATATGAACAACTTGCCAAGCAAATCACGTGGCTGGGGTTGCTGTAACAGTGATAAGTGTGAAAAATTGTCATAAGTCTCTTTTTTCAGTGCCGTTGTAACTGAACAATCACTAAATGAACTGTTCTGCAGTCTTATTATAAGCACAAACCACACACACACACACACCAAACTCAAAACTTAATGCTGCCCGACCCTCTTTTATCTTCAACAAGACTCTGAAAGAACCTCAGTTCATTCCAACAAAAGAAGCGGAGGGCCAAGGGGTGTGGTCTGGATGCTATAGGGACCGGGAGCCCCTGCCCGACAGATGTTAACCGAGGGTCCATTCATCCTCCCCTCTACCCCCTCCATCCTTCCCCTTATAAAGACAACGGGGTGTCCCATCCATCACCTTTCCCCGCAGAAATGTTGCTGAAGCGGATCTGAGCCGGCTTATCTTTATCCTGGTAAGAACTGCGATTGCCGCCAGAGTTGCGGTTCCCTGTGGCTGCATTCAGAAAGGCCCCTTTTGTGCTTGCGTTCTCCGGCATGTCTGCGCCCGGATGCCCGCTCAGTCCTCCGATGGAGATGGATTCTTTCCACCCCAGTCCTAGAACCTGCGCCACCAATGCTTCCCAACGGCTACCTGAAGTTTCCAGAACGCGTCAGCATTTGGGAGAAGAAAGGTCCTTACACAGTTCCTCAGGCCGTCGCTGAGAATGACGCTAATACAGGGCTGTCTTTGTAAGCGCCTGATTTTCAATAAACACAGGAAAGCATGGACGCTTTTTCAAGTAGTGACTTCCGAGAAAGGAAAGAATGAATTTGGCTTGTGTACATAAATGTCTTCCAGAGGCTGAAGCGGAACTATTTTAAGCATACCAAAAATAATACCGAACAGCGAATAAGAACAGCGAACAAGGCATCAAAAGCCATAGGCTGATCCTATTGGCTGTTCAGAGAAGCTTCAAGATTTAAGCAGCATATAGGTTGATCAATAAAGACATAATTCTTTTTTTTTTTAAGGTCACACTTAATTGCCCAACAGTCTCAATGCTGAATTCTCTTTTGGTGCTGAGTACAATTGGAAACGTTAATTACCACAAAATGAAAGAGCCTTGCTAAAAGTAAGGAGAATATTCATAAGGAATAGTGGAAACTAAATTATTGAATATATATTTATGAATAAAACAGTCATAAATTAAATAGGCAAATTCAAATTAGATTGCAAGGCACAAAATAAATAAGGATAAATAAAATCCATACCTTTATTCTGCAATTCTATTTTCTTTTTCTTGAAAATAATACTAGTACAAAATGAGTAGAATCTGCATAAAAATACATCCTGGTAGAGCTAAATCATATTTAAGAACCTGTTTTTTAAAGAAATCAGTCTTAACTTTTCAAATATGGAGAATACCTTTAAAAGTAACAAATGTTGCATAAATATGGCAAGTAAATCATTACGACTGGAAGATTTCTGTATGCCAAAAATTCTTAACTGTAAAACATCTTTATCAAATTTATATTTTACTGGGCTGAAAAATGACTTGTTTCAGTATTGATAACATCTTTACAACATTAGATGCTGTGTAAACACTGAAAATGGCAACACTGACTTTTCTTTTGCAATTAATGTAAGGCAGGGTTATGTCCTATGCCCATTTTTATTTCTGATTATCATGGATCTACCATAAAAAAGGCAATGAATAAGTTGGTCCAAAGATGCTCTTTTCAAGAGGCAACTGGATTTTCTGGTTTTTCTTTGAAAACATTTCACTTCTCATCCAAGAAGTTTCTTCAGCCTTTTGAAAAAAGCACTTTTGGGACAACCATGACCTGGATGACTGAGAATCAAAGAATCATAAACAATAAATAAGTTGGGGTTTTTGCATTCCGTGGAATAAACAAGGCAAATTGTCTGACCTATATTTTGCTGATGACATAGCTTTACTTGCAAATGAGTCACAGCTGAAAGTTATGACACTGGCACTTGAAGCATGGCAAGTAAAGTGGGCTTAGAATTAGTGAAGACAAGACCAAACTGACGCTAGTTGGCAATGTTCAAGAAAATGCTCTGGTAACTTTAGGAGATCAGGAATGGTCTTGTGGAATTTGTGGAACAATTCAACTATCTTGGTAGTATTGTGGATATAGATGGGGGAACAGAAGGAGATATGAATGCCAGACAAGTAAAGCAAATGTTGTTTTCCAAAAAATGGTTTCAATATGGACCAGGACCACTATAAACACACCAACAAATACCAGATTATTTAATGCCATTGTCATACTGACTACCATCTATGCCAGTGAGATCTGGAAATCCACAACAAGAATTATTCATAAGATCAATGTCTTCTAATAATGTTGCCTCAGAAGGATTCTTTGTATCTCATATCAGGACTATGTAACAAACAAGGATATTATACAATGAAGTAATTCCTAAAGACTCAGATAGTGATAGAATGAAGAATGAACTTTGCTGGACATGTTCTCCTCATGGGTGAGCAAAAAATGCAATCAACTGGATACCACCAGATGGCTGGAGAAAAAGAGGAAAGCCAAAGACAGCCTGGCACCAAACATTTCAGGAACATCTGAAAAATTTCAACCTTAAATGGAAGGATGCAAAGATTGTAGTTGAGTACTGCAAATTGTGGAGTACACTTGTAGTCCAATATACTTAGCACAGGATATGATGATAGGAGGACATGATGATGGTGAGTAAAATGAGGCTCATGGGTTTCAATAGTAGTCACAGTGGAGGCAGCAGAACTGCTGGGTGCAGCATATGTGAAGAAGTACACAAAAGCTCTCGTGACCCGTCAAAACCGCGGTCCACAAAAGCGCGCTCGACGAAAGCGCGCATTTGACGTCATCACAGCGCGACGAAAAA